ACGATTTCAATTTCCGCTTCAAAAGAGAAGCCTACTGTAATTCGTGAGTGGTCATTGGTTACGCTCGTGAGGTAAAGAAGGGGTTTCTGACTTTCTCACTCAATTGAAAGACTCGCGTCACTCTTATTAAATGGTTGAACAGACTTCGAGCGGTCTCTTACTTTCCTTAAAGATAGTGAGGTCACGCGTATCCTGTGAGCATGGTGAAGCCGCGAGACGCGAGACTCGTATCTCGCGTCTTCGCCGCTCCACGCTCTCAGAGTTGGGCAAAGACAAGACACGTTATTTCTGGTGCGATACAAGAGGTTCAATGGTTATCTCGATTATCTAAACACATTTATTTAGGTGGTAAAGATTTGTTTTTAAATCTATGAACTGATGCTAGTCCTATTTGGAACGAAATGTATTTGAAATAAAAAAGAATACTAAGTAAAACAAAAGTTGTCTGCAACACGAAGCATGCCTTCGCATTAAGACTGAGAATCCTAATGTTTATCATGATACTTTAATGCATATGTTCGAATGTTCCCGAAAATCTTCTGATAATCTGCCCGCACCCACCCCTCACCCCGCCCCTCGCTACTGAACCGTATTGTTTTCACTCAGCAGCTGGTCAGCGGTCACGTTTATGAGGTAAACAAACCGATCGATTCTTGACCACCGTTCTTGTCGATCGGAAAATCATAATACCAGTGTGATATTGCCGCGAAGATGAAGCAGTTATGTTATTTGATTCGTACTTCACATTCGAGTCCAAGCTTGGGTGGCACAGGTTATTTCTTGCGGTGGAATCGACGAGGGGAATTCAGAAAGTTGTAGTGGTTGAATTGTTGGAATAAATGGTCGCATGGGGATGGTAAGTTTCACGAACAATTTCAAATTTTGCCGCTTGAATTGAAAGTAGAATTCATTTGATTTGCTTTCGTATATATTTCTGACGGTTTTAGATTTACCTGCTTGATTTCTATCGGTTACGCTTCATGTTGAGAAGTCCCTCAAAATGGCGGCAAAACTTGGAGATTGCCGAAAATTAGGTAAGTTCACGGAGTTATAAAGTTCTCGTAAAGGTCGGGCCGCAAATTTTTTTTCTGTGGCTATCTTTGCTATGGCACCTACTTGCTAGCTATGTTAGTTGGATCAGTTAAGAACGCCTCACTTTTTCAAAACTTCACCATAAAATTCATCGGTTTTGGCGTGTTTGATTTAGGCGAACCGATAAGGTGTCATTCAAGTCTCCGTGTTTCCTTGATTGACACGTGATGTTTACGAAAGTCGTCTCGATAGATTAGATAGAGTTAATACACATGGCTGTGTTATTTGTTTTTTGCTGAGTTCCGTAGTTTTTTGTAAATTGTCCTCCAAAGTTGTATGAAATTAAAGTCTTGAAAAGTGTCACGACAAGCCTTCGCTCGAGTGAAATTTAATTTCCGTAAAACTCTGAAAAATAAAGAGATCCGATCAAACTGATTGTGGTTTTAGTATAGGTACATGAATGTCTTACAGCACACAAGAAACAAGCGAAATCCGTGTCTCAAGCAAAATCGACTGGACCGCTCTTTCAGAGACACTCTCTTAAATTTAAATAAGATATTGTGCCAGTTTGGCCATTGGCCGCAAATACTCGTATGGTTGAGTAAGTGTTGGAATAAACTTGGAACAAAAGCACCGGCTCAGCTTAACCAAGACGAAATATTTGAAATCTCCGTAGTTAGCGCGGCACGTGAATCGCTTTCTTGAATGTAGCATTTTTATGATTGAGGAATCATTGCGGTATCAGGAAGTAGACCTAATCACAAGAAAATCCGGCCGAGAAACTGAACCATATTTCAACTTTCGTCAGCGACGTTTTCATTTCCACAAAAAAGATAAGCTCATGGTATGAAAATCATAAAGAGACTT